AAAAGATGCAATTGTTAGTGACATTGAAAATGAGGAAAAGATGGATACAAGCAATGACACATCTGACAGATCTAATATCACAAGCATACAAGCAGAAAACAACAAGTGATGCCTTAGAGTAATGAAACATTACAATTCACTTACCTCAAAACTGAATAAGAGATGCCACGCAAGTTGAAACCATGGGGCTATCAGTTTAGCTCACACATAATCTCCTTGAAATACCATTTTCTAGCTAGTAAATCACATCTAGTGTTTAAATAAATATGAAATATGCAAATGAATTATGTATTTACTGGGTTTTAATTTTGCTATTTTTGGCGATGAGTAAAATTAGATGAATTAAATCCAAGTAAACAAGTAAAATAACAATAAAACTCATTGTTGTTACGCGACCTTAAACACCCACTGAAAAAGTTCAAACATTAAAATAGAAAAATTAAATCAAATTTAAGTCATTGCTAAAAGGACTTCACCTACCTGTCTGTTCATTAGTATTTTATCATCATAAAATTATTCTGTCATCTGAAGATGCTGCAAATCATTCGCCGGTATTTCCTGAATTTGTTCCCACTGCCATATTGTCCAGTCTGGCATACGTACATAGAGTGTCTGTGAATACCTGCTGGCGGTATTGCCTTCCAGGTTAAGTGTTTGATGCAGTGCCAGTACAGTTTTGGGTATTTCCACCGTATACTTCATGTTGTTGTTTGTGATCTGCGTGCTGATCTGCGAATCGTGTGATCCAGAATAGGTATGAAAGCATAGGCTAGATGTAGGTCGCCCAATCGTCTTGGGATCAATGCATACCGTTGTATCAGTCGCGATGCCGCATCGTCGACTTTTCGGCGACGAGTCTAACGACATCTGTGACTTGCTTGATGTTGATGACATGGAGAAGGGGATATCAGAAAGCCCGGGCCAGGATAAGCAAGGACAGCAATTGTTATGTTCCCAAGTATGTGTTCTAATATCATCTCATGGCCACGCATTTGTGACTGAATCAATCAATTCATTCACTGGTTCAATTACCTGCACAAAAATCATGATCTAGGCTTCTGCTCACTACATCAATATACATTACGGTAGTTGATATACCACAGAGTTGAGAGGCCTACCATTCTTGATTTGGGACGTTGTATATATTGAAGCCATAGTTATAGAATTATTATTTTTTTCAATTTGTATCAAATTGTATCAATGCCTGCTTCTTTTTCCTACAACTGATCTTTGAAACCGTTTATCAAATTTGCTTTTTTTATCGGAAACTTCCGCTGAATCACACAACTTGTTTCCATCAACCAATTTCTTTCGTCTTTGAGTGAGCAGTGACATACTTTCAGCAAACCTACTTTTAGCAGCGACACAATATGTTATCACTGCAAATGCCATCAAGCTGCTGCTGGAAACGTCAACTACTTTCTTTATTATTAAATTCAAAATTTTCTCGACCGTCAAAATTGTTAGCATAGGCAAGTAAGATACTGAATCAATAGAGACCCGCTACCCTGTACATATACTTCAATACCTGTGAAGTACCGAGCTGGTAAGATTACTAGTAATTGTTTCAAAAAAGTTGTAGAGCAGCTGGATTATTGACATGCCGATAATTTATTGAAAAACATATGCTTCAATCTCAAATACGTTGTCAATCAAATATTTCGCATACTGATAACGTAATTTCGAGTTTCTTTATTTGTTTAATACACAGGACGAAGTCTCATTCACAGACTTCAACGAAATAATAAATAACAAGGGTAAAAGCACACTATGATATTACGATCAAGTGTTTGTTTGTTTATATGCGAATACTATTGTGATTGGGATACTAGTTTTGGGGAGACTATTTTTTAATGTAATTACATGTGCAGCAATTTGTTTTTTTTCTAGCATGGCACAGTAACTGTTTCAGAAGACCTGACCATTTTATGAACATAGTGTTATTGTTAACTCGGCTACGATTCGGGGTAACACATATAACAGCGCCATCAAATGGTGATTGCGATAGTTACATATTTATCCTATGAATCAAGTTGTGCTCAACGCTGTCATTCAAATAATCTAATTATCTAACTATCATCTTAAATAATTTACATTTCACAGAAACTATGCAAGTGGAGAAAATCTAGAAGATTTCGTGAGACATGAAGCTTCTCCGAGATTGCAGAAAGCTGTAACAGACAAGAACGGGGAACCATTCTATTCGAAACCACTGCTGTATTTTATGGTAGAAAATATCATTGCTACAATGTGCTTTGGTCAAAAATAAGCAAAAGTAATTCTGAAATGATAAATTGTACAGACCGAGTAACCGAATATAAATATATGATGAGTTCAACCATCAATCACAAAATATACACAAAACTTACTGAATATAGCATTTTCACAGATATGAGGTGAATGACCCCGAATTTAAAGAAATCATTTGGCAATGGACTGGTTGCTGTTTATATCTCGATATTCCAATATATGCCAACTAAGGGTTTTGGTGAAGCCAAGCGTTTTATGGCAAAAATGGCTTGGTTTAATTCAGGGAAAGATTACTGCCCACAAAAAAAATAGCAAAGGTATAAAACCTACACTATATATAATTTAAAGCTTTTAAAACATTTAAAATGATTTTTCTTTCGCGTATAAGTTGTCCAACTCATTCGCTATGCCTAGACATATAATATATTCGCGATTTAAAGATGTTTATTACATTGTCAATGTCGACCTCTCTTCACAGCAACAGGGTTTGTTTCTCCTTGACTCATTGCTATATGACGAACACCACACATGTGGAGCAGGATGACTGCACTCTCTCTATAAATTTGTAACTTCCAATCTTAAATGTTTTATATATGTATTTCACTCGCTTGTTTGACCATATAATGTAATGTATTTGTTAGTCTTGTAAATATATTGTCTTTTATTGCGGATAATCCTGAAGTACATGACCTTATTGATGACCTACTAAATATTCAAAACGAAGCCCAGATAGCAGGCGAAGATCAGGCAGATGTTTCAAATGTGGTGGAATTATTTCAAAGAAGTGGACGAAACTTAAGGGTTGTTGTTGGTGTCATGAAGAGACTAATAAATTAGTATAGGGCTGCTGCCTTGTTGAATTATTGACATGCCGATCATGTATTGAAACACTTATGCTTCAATCTCAACAAATACGTTGTCAATCAAAACATTTGCAAACTGATAATGTAATTGCGAGTTTGTTTATATATTTTTTTGCGGGATGAAGTCTCATTCACAGACTTCAACAAAATAAATAAATAAGAGTAGAAACACAATTTGATATTAAGATCAAGTGTTTGTTTATATGTGCATATTGTTCGATTGGGATACTAGTTTTGGGGAGACTATGTTTTAATGTAATTACATGTACAGCAATTTGTTTGTTTTTTCTAGCATGGCACAGTAATTGTTTCAGAATACCTGACCATTTTATGAACATTCTGTTATTGTTATTGGCTTACGATTCGGGGTAACACATATAAGAGTGCCAACAAGTGGTGAATGCGGTACAGTTACATTATGTCTTCTAGGAGTATCATCACCTTATATTTTTTCATTTCTGTATAACTTGATTGTTTAAAGCGCTAGCGTAATCGCGTGGTGAGTGACGGAATTGCAGTGAAGCCACTTCACTCGAATAAGCCATAATGGTAAAGATCAGATGATATAGACCAGAATGTATATACGTGTTGCTCGGGTCGAAGTTTGAAGGCTGAATATGCCCTAATATGCTAGCACTAATATTTATGCTATTCTTCTCAAAAGACGGATTGGCTATGCATGCTATATGCAAGATAGCAAATTGCGGCTCATTTTTGTCCAACATGACGGCCAAACCACAGACTGATCTTTTTTTTTTCCTTTTCTCACAAGAAGCTTTAACCATACATGTCATGTGCAAAATATCAAGTTGATTCCTAAAGCATTATAGAGAAACAAATCCCAAATGTGTTGGTTATAGTTGTGGAAAGAGAAAAATGCTGTTGAACTTATTGTTTACTGTCCGAAGTCAGTTAAAAATGCAACATGGTAAATTTCAAAGAAATAGGATAACTGGGAAATCAGTGAACAAATACTTGCTTTTTAAGAGAAATCTAATATGGCAGCCAAACCACGCGATCAGCCTCCCAAAATCTCAAGCCATAGTGCGCTTCCAAGTAGATGATAAAAAAACAATACGTCAATATGTTCAGTGGCTCTGAAGAAGAAGATTTTTAAGCATGTTTGTTTTTCGGGGTACAAACATGGCGACAATTCACGTGATCGCATACGTTTCATTCTTTAGACAGGTAGCCAATATCCCAATACAGCTGCAACACAAAATCAGAATGCATAGACCTTCATAAATGGTTCAAAATGGCCACTTTCACGGTAACTTCAATTCAAGATGGCTACCGCACCAATTGACCAATCATAATTCTGACAGTTGGGTATACCACGTCACGTTAGAATTTAATATAATAGAAAATTTCAGACCATTCCATCTAACGTGTTTTCACGACGACCAGACAAAAAACGGCGGTCAACAAAAAATAGAAAGAAAAACCTGCACTAAGATAAAAGGGGCCAAACTTACTTTTACCCTAATAATTACTTTAAAGGGCGGTGGTCGTCGCGCATGCGCGAGATATGGACAAAGATGGTGACATTGACTATTGTACAGACCAGCAGTACCAACTGAAGCGTTACTGAGATTTAACTATGTAATTTCTTTGGTGATTGGAAGGTATCAGGAGTCACCTTTGGTAATTAGTGCACGTTGCGCCCAGGTCAAAACTCGTGCTCACGATTTCCGCCAGAAGAGCACATTGGATTTGTGGGGAAAAAATAAGGTTGGCTAACACAAATGTCGCACATGCACAGCGCGACAACGACCATTCTTTAAATATAACATATTGCTTTTAATTTAAATACTGTGTCTCGCTAAATTATTGTTGTTGAGTTTATAAAACATCAGTTTGCATGTATGTTTTATTATTAGTTTAAACTCAGAGTTACATTTACACCACTCAACATATCCGAGTTCGATTATTACTTCCTTGAATATATCAGTCAGTAGGTAAGAAGTAAGTGAGTGAGAAGATGAAATTATGTCATAGATGATTGACCTCACTGCGGTTGATTTTTCAGTAATCGAAATAATACCACATATCCACCTTCTTCTTGAACATAATTGGAAACTATTATTTTCTGTACTTGTTCCAAATTGTTGTCTTTCAGTAATCGATCCAATACAGGTCCCTCGAGTTGTGATATGAATTTAGTATTGAGGCAAATACAGATAATCCCATCTATAAAAAGTCACAAAACTTAATAGGTAATGCGTTAACAAAAGTTAATAAAAAGACAGGAATAATTGTGTCATATTAATTGTGATTTTTTATTATTGTCTGAATATTGTGTTTACTGTTTAAATGTCAATAAAATATAAATTAACTTACTTGGATAACAGTATTCTATTCTATTCTATTCCATTCTATCAAACATTTATCATATATTCAGATATCCATCAATGAAAGCACCACAACAAACAATCCCATCATACGTGTCTGCCAATGATAGAAATATTTTATGGAAATAAGAACTTGATTAATGTTTCAGTTGATGTGTTATTAATAAAAACATATCAAACGTCCAACACCAACTCAACATTTTTTCCAAAGTCATTTAAATGTATTAAACAAGGACTTAAACTACTTACTTGGCTTCATTTTCATAACCGGATGCTCATCCAATTTGGCACATATTAGTTGTCTATAACATACTTTGAGTTCGGCTTTTTGCAAACTATCGTCAGAAAGATCAACGGCGTCAATGTTTCTGTATCCAAGGTGTTTAAGCTAGACGAAAGAAGAAACACAACTGAGACACACATTGAAAATGGAAGTCACAATCGGGAAGCAAAATTACACAACAATGTAAACAATTATTATACACACAGTTATTGAATATAACATATGCTCTTACCTCCAACCCAACAAGACCTGTTCCTGCTGCACAGTAAAACGTAGGCATTGCGTTCAGGCAACAAGTCAGACAAGCAATTAGCTGTATACTTTTGCTAATAACAAAAATAGAGTAAACCCATAATTTATAAAAACAAATGTGCAATATTTAGACTAGTGTTCATCGTCCTGGCTACCGCCACAAAAGATAGCTCACTGGTTTGAAAATGGCCGACATACTTATATGACTGTGTGCAGTCTATCACCTGTCTGAAAAAAGCTTATTGCTTTATGTGTCAATCAGCTGAATTATTGTTGTGACACTCGTAATTGTAATCAACTTGGTAGGCTATACACTACACTGGTTAAGCTTTCAGATGTATTCATTATTATAGTGGCATACATAATAACTAAAGAATGTCTGAATCACCCATCAATTTTAACACGTTTCAGCTCAATGCTGCCCGCCTTAAGACGGATTTGATTAATCCGACCTATCCTTGTTTTATAATTGTGTAAATTAAAGACACACAGGGTATTAGTGTGTGAAATGTGTGTGTATTTTTGTTTTTAATTTCGCCGTAACATACTGGCAAAACTTTAAAAAACTGTGTGCAAAATACCTTTTCAAAAGTTTTACTACATGTATTATAGTGTTCCCTTATCTCCTGTGATGATTTCGTCGAATCATGAACAGTTACCATATTACGAAATGCTCGGTCAACGTTTTCAACTTACTTCTTGTTTTTCACAAAGATAATCTCCAGAGCATCACATTTTAGGTGTGATTTGGATATATCATATTT